GAGATTGGTGCCACCAATCTGGCACTAATCTTTTCTGGTGGGAAAATAAGGGATTCAGGTATATTAAGGTGCATAGCAACTGTGTGGATATGTGTGAGTTTTGCTTATTTATTTTACTTTTAAAGTTTAATATAATTTTCTCCTAAAAGGACTAACTTTGAGTACTAGAGCAGGAAAAACCCAGTATGTATTTAATGCCAATTTTTTTACTCATTTGCCCCCAAAAAAGTTAAGAAATGAAAGGAAACTAACTGTGTAGGTGCCTGATTCTAGGAAGACACCTCCATTGAAAAAACACTAACAAAAGGCTGGGATTTTTTAAGACTGTGAATTGTAGCAGGGGTCCCCAACTCCTGGCTGAGGACTGATCCTGTCCCTGGCCTGTTAGAAACCTGCCTGGAGGGAAGCTGGTTGAGCTCTGACTTCTGTCCTCCCCCAACGCCTCCCCCATGCAAAGACTGGTCCCTGGTGCCAAAAGGTTGGGGGCCACTGAATTATAGAATCAGACAATGAGTATTTCCTGCAGTATGTGAAATCTATTTTTTCTTAAAACAATAAATAGTCTTCATGAGAGATCACACTGAAGACTTCAAAAGGATTCTCTCTTCTCATCTCCCCATCCATACCTTCCGCCTCATCATGAGAGTGAGTTACCTTTGGTGGATCCGTATCCTTTAGTTATCTGGTCTTAAGGGTTCATTCTAGTTGTAAGTTTAAAACATTTCCCACTACATAATAGGAACATCATGTCATTCTCTCCTTGGGCTCTCTGTAGAGCCAAGGATGAAATTATCAGGATTCTTTTTAGAATTCAGTCTTGGAAAGTCAGTCATAACTTGGCAAACCAATGTAAGAATTCTGCCAAAGGCTTCCAACCTCTAAGTCACTTGTGCTGATGGAAACATTCTACTTTAGATTACCTACCTGTTCTGGCACAGCTAAATGCTTGTATTCACCTGCACTGTGGTTAACTCAGGTGGACAATGAGTTTTCCAGTGGCCCTGTTGGATGATGGCAAGATTATTTTGACGCGAACAAGGCAGGGGTGATACACAGCATTACCATCGGGTACATGATACTGATTGTGGCTAGGATCCATCCTCACTGACTGAGTTCCCATTCTGGTTGGTTGGTTCCCATGTGATTCTGGCTACTGAATGTTAAATAATTTGACTAATCACCCACATTCCCAACACAAATTCACTGCATATTAGAATTACTGTTAATTATTACATTTCTTTCTGAACTCATCTACACATGACATCAAGAAAGTAATGATTTTTGTATGTTTTATTTTAAAAGTTAGTTATAGAATATACATCCTAGCCATTGTTTTCACTTCACCAAACATGTTTTTAAAATACCTATGCAGGAAAAAGAAAAACAAAAAACAAAATAAAACAACCTATGTGACCATCTTTTTGTTTTAAAAAAAATTTTACTCAACTTTTCATGAAATGAAATTTACATTTTTCTTTTATTAATATTCTTTAACTTTCTAGATAATTCTATACTCCTCAGAATCTTGATGTCTCTTTTTACTCTCTTACCATAAAATGGGGAGTGTTGTATTTGGTGTGTATTAATTGGGGTCAGGATCTCCCAAATCAAGATACAACCTGAAGGCAGATCAGGAGGGAAAGGAACAGGAAGTAGTGACTAACCCAGTTCAGATTATTATTTGTTTTAAATTGGTTCTGGACATTTGAAATCCCCTTTAATTTTTGGAATCAAGAAGAATGATAATAGTACCTCCCATTTGCTGCGCCTGAGGCACCTTGAGCACTCTGTTACACTTTACACATCGTGGCATGTTTGAATCGATGTGATAAACTTATCCTTACATTTGTTTGGGTTCATTACTGTGTTGTGTGGTCTGATCCCATGGGGAGTTTGGCCAGAAACACCCTTCTGGCTGAGCCAGTCCCCCTTGTATTTGATGATCAGTAAGGTCTGCTTTGCTCACCACTGAGCCAGACCTTACTCTTTGTTTCAATTTGTTTAAAGACTTTATATCAACAGCTCTTATTAGTCATCAAAATCACCAGAAGATGTGTTATTGTTCCTAGAATATAAAAGCAGCTTCAGTTTCTGAGTTACTGTCATCAGACTCAGCCCAGAAGTCTATAGACTTCAAGTTAGTAGTTATTTCTTTTTATTGAGCCCTGCCTGCCTTGTGGCAGATAGAGTAGGAAAGGTATTTACTGGCAATCCATGTTGTTCTGCTGGGAAATTTCTGACACTTGGCTGCTCCAACCATTCTGGAACACGGTTAGGAGCATTATCACACAGTGATAACATCACACTTTGGGAGGGCCCTTGAGCAACTGAGTCATAATGCGTCAAGTGAGTGAGCTGAGAGAGGACTAGCTTGGCCTTTGGAGCAGAAGTACCTGGAGCCCAACCCTGACTCTCAGCCTCTGTTTGGACCCACGAGGACTGGAAAATGGGGAGAGAGTCCCCAGGATGAGGACAGCTTGAGGATATCCCCACATGCAGTTTAGACAGGCAACCGATTAGCCTGTGGTGGTGGTAGGAGTGTGTGTGTGTGTGTTGGAAAGTAGAGGGAGTGGAAATAAAGTTGTATATGCAAGTGAGGAGCCTGTGTACTTTGGGGTTTCCAGAAACAGTAGCTCCCCGCCAATACCAATAGGGCTAAGGAGCCAATCCAATGATGCTTAGATAAGGTAGCCTGGAAGGGTTCCTTGTAGTTGTTACGGGCATATTTGCATCTTGCTTGCATTTTGTTATTATTCATTCCTATTGTGAAATCCTCCATTATGTGTAAAAAACACCTGGGTCAGGGCTTCCGCACTGCTGGATCTTTTCCAGAGACAAAACAAGGGAGCGTGGGAGTCCCACCACTCTTCCCCGCATTCTCATCTAAGAGACGTACGCAAGAGCGCCCTCTTAAGGGTGCGAACTGGGGGCTCTTTAGAGCTGTATGCTAAAATAATGCCTGGTTCTCAGCGAGTGCTTGATAAATACTGTTTACCAATCGAATGAATTTATAAGATAAAAAATTGGTATGTATTCAGGGCATTCAGCTCTGCTTCATTTTCAGCCTTCTTCAGTTGCCTCTCTATTTTCTTCTCTTTCCATCACCCACACTATGGGGCTCTCAGCTGCTCATCTTAGTTCTCAACCATTTGAGCCCACCTCCCCCTAGTCATCCCCCTACTCCCAACCACGTATGCTCTCCCTGTCTATCACGTCTCCCAGGAGCCCAGAGGGGAACGTGAGCTCCTGCGGCAGCACAGATGAAATTAATGGGTGGTCTCGGGAGGAACCAAGGCTGTTAGTCCCTTCCGTTATATCCGTTTGGAAAATCTCAGTGTGCATCATCACCCTCCTGGGCTTTGACCAAAACAAAAAGTATCAGACATTCATATCCTGAATTAATTTGTGTATTTTTATTCTGCCTCTTCTAAACACAGCAGCGTAATTGCAAATCAGTTTTTCCTTTCCTCATTAACTTGATTCCTTTTTTTACTGAAATGTAATTGACATACAGCATTGTGCTAGTTTCAGATGGACATAGTGATTCTACCTATGTAAATATTGAGGAAGGATCACCACAATGTCTAGCTGACATCCATTACCTCAGATAGTTACAATCTTTCTTTCTTGTACTGAGAACTTTTAAAATCACCGTCTTAGCAATTTGCAAATATACTATACAGTATTATTAACTATAGTCACCATGCTGTTATTTAATTTGTTATTATAACTGCAAGTTTATATCTTTCCACCACCTGTTTATATCTTTTGACCACTTTCATCCACCCCTCACCCCCTGCCTGTGGCAACCACCAATCTGATCTCTGTAATTATGATTCTTGAGCCATTGATTTTAGTCATTGTTTCTTATAAAGGAGAGCTAATGGAAGACCCTGTGGGAGTCCCCACTCTCCTAAACTAATGGTAATGACACAGCCCAGAAGTCACTGCTGCCTGAGCAAGAAGTACTGGGCTTACAGTGGCCAATCCGAGCAGGCTTCTTGTCATCACATGGCAGCCCCACGGCATGTACTGCCGGAATTCTTTCTCCCCTCCATTCCTGATATTCCCTTCCCTCTTCACTCCCTTGCCTCCTGTTTCCCCCTTACCCCCTCGTATTTCCTTCCAACCTCTCAGAGCCTGGTTTCTCATAGGTTCAGTTCAAGTAAAGAGATGGTGAATCAGTGAAACTTCCCTTCAGGTTTTCCTCATGCATGTCCTTTTCCATGTCCCTAGATCATACCAGCTTGGAAAGATGGGAAAGATGCTAACTATTTTCCAGGGCCAATGCTAGAAAATATGCCCAGAACAAGTTTTAGAAAACATAATTTTAGCGCTTTTGATACACATTTATTAAGTGTCTCTAAGAAGCTATGACCTCAAATTTTAAACCACTGCACTATTTTTTTCCACAACGTTGAGTTCTATATCAGGTGCATTTTGCTCCTGTGGCTGCGGTAACAAATCACCACAAATGTAATGGCTTAAAAACACCACAAATGCGTTGTCTTACAGTTGCGGAGATCAGAAGTCCAGAATGGGTTTCACAGGCCAATATCAACGTGTTGGCAGCGCCACACTTCTGGAGGCTCCAGGGGAGAATCCATTTTCTTGCCCTTTCCAGCTTCTAGATGCTTCTAAATGCTGCCTGCATTCTTTGGCACACAGCCCCTCCGCCATCTTCAAAGTCAGTGGTGGAGCATCTTCTCGTGTTTCTCTGACCCTGTATCTGTCATCACATGTCCCTCTGCTTCCCTGTCAAATATAAGGGAAGCAATCAGCCTATCAGGATAATCTCCCCACCTCAACATTCTTAAAGGGGGCCATCTACAAAGTCCCTATGCTATGTAAGGGAACATAGTTACAGGATCCAGGGATTAGGGTATGGACATCTTACAAAGGCCATTATTCAGCCTACTGCATCAGGGAAGCCACACTGTCACATATAATCTTCTAAAAACATGAATATCAAAGGAGATTTTCTCATTTCTTATTTTCAGATGCAGAGAGAAATTGTTTATGCAAGAGGAGATGGCCCTGGTTCCTCTCGACCTGGATCCACAGCTCATCTACCCCATGCCATTCCAAATTCTCCGCCTTCCACTCCTGTCCCCCATTCCATGCCACCCTCCCCATCCAGAATTCCTTATGGGGGCACCCGCCCCATGCTTATTCCTGGTAATGCCACCATCCCCAGGGACAGACTCTCCAGTCTGCCAGTCTCCAGATCTATCTCACCCAGCCCAAGCGCCATTTTGGAAAGAAGAGATGTAAAGCCAGATGAAGACATGAGTGGCAAGAACATTGCAATGTACCGAAATGAGGGTTTCTATGTTGATCCTTACTTGTATCACGAAGGAAGGATGAGCATAGCCTCTTCCCACGGCGGCCACCCACTGGATGTCCCCGATCACATCATTGCATATCACCGCACAGCAATCCGGTCAGCGAGTGCGTACTGCAACCCTTCTTTGCAAGCGGAAATGCATATGGAGCAGTCACTGTACAGACAGAAATCAAGGAAGTATCCAGACAGCCACTTGCCTACGCTGGGCTCCAAAACACCCCCTGCCTCTCCTCACCGGGTCGGTGACATGAGAATGGACATGCACGCTCATCATAATGCCCATGGACCCCCTCACACCATGCAGCCTGACCGGGTCTCGCCCAGCCGCCAGGCCTACAAAAAGGAGGCAGGCACCTTGGTGTATATTGAAAAGCCACGGACTCCAGGACTATCAGGAATTGTGGACCTTGGTCCTCCTCTAGTGGAGAAGCAAATGTTTGCTTATAGCACTGCTACGATACCCAAAGACAGAGAGACCAGGTAAGGTGGCGAGGGTGGCCGAGGGTGGTATGTGCCTGATGTTGCTGAGCACTGCTCTTCAGAGGTCAAACCAGGAGAACAGATATCAGCTGGGCCCCAGCTCATGCAGTGTGCCTTGTGGATGCTGCCAAGGGCACGGGGGCGTCAAGTTAGGCAGCCCGTGGCTGTGAGGGCAGACACACCTAGCGCGGTCAGTGCGAGCCTCCTGAGCATGGGTCAAACAGCGTCACCATTACCCACATCTGAATAATTTGGAGGAAAATTGTGATCAGCAGAAATCATTCAGAAAAATAAATTAAGAGCTTATAATAATTGACCTGCCACAGAAGACAAGGGGTGAGTGGTTCAAGTTATAGCTGTTTGAAAGGCCGATTTGTGTTTTTCCTTGTGTGGAAAATTTTGTTTTCTCATCAGGTTTTGGGAAATGGAAAGAATGTATTACTGACTGTCATCTACAGTGATAAAAACATGAATTTGCATAAAAATAGGATGGTTTAGATTTAATACTCATTCCAGAGTAAATACTAAGATCAGCAAAATTATGTAGTGAATGACGCACTCTGGGCATTTTAATTCCTTTCTTTAAGCTTTTCTTTATTTATTTTTAGAGAGGAGAGGAAGGAGGGAGGAAGGGAGAGAGGTATCAGTGTGTGGTTTCCTCTCACATGCCCCCTACTGGGGACCTGGCCCACAACCCAGGCATGTGCCCTAACTGGGAATCGAACCAGCAACATTTTGGTTCATAGGCTGGCACTCAGTCCACTGAGCCACACCAGCCAGGGCTTAATTTCTTTTTTAATATATATATATGTGTGTATATAGTTATAATTTACCAGTCCAGAACCTCCTATTATATCTTAAAAACTCTTCAAAGTTCATATAGTAATAGAAAAGCTAATTTTGATAGAGGGAATTTCATTTGCCTGAATTTGTTAAAGAAAATCAACATACTAATTATAATCACAAAAAAAAAAATGTGGTCAAAGACATTGAGTCCAAAAAAGGTTAAGTCTTTTACCAGTGGTCATATATAAATTCAGAAATATGAAAAATAAGATCTAGATATTTAATTATTTATTACCTTTTAAGAACTGGTCTTACTTGCTCTTCACTAAAAATGGCAATATCACTTACTGCTATTATATAACCTTATAAAAAGAATGCCAAAATTGTGAATGGAATATGAATCGTCTATCATACTTATTCACACCCAAATCAGAAAGCCCTGTCCTAATTAGCAGAATATTATCATGGGACAGCTGCTTCTTCTTATCTGTTCAGTCACAGCAGACAGATTCCTGCAGGATGGAAAGAGAGTGAATGTGGAAGTTTGGGCATCATTAACACACTAACGATTTTAATCCTCTCGTACAACTGGGGGAAAAAAAGCAGTGGTGCCTGGCTTGATTATGTAAGGACTAAGAAAGATTAAAGATTAAAAAACTATTTATTCCCTCTTTTCCAAAGGCTTTAGGAAGTGAAATATTAAGAATCCAAGAAAGGGATACTTAATACTTAAGGAATGAATACTTAAGGAATCCAGAAAAGGGATACCTCGGTGACCATGGACAACCGAGGGTGTGGGATGAATACTGGGGCTAATGGGAACAGACCAGTGTCACATCTGGGGGGAAATCTACCAAGATGTGCCTGAGTCTCAGAAGCTTGTGCCCTGTGCTTCAAAGAAAGGGCTACACATCCTCTGCAGTGAGCTGTAAAAGGCTGGTCAGGAAAAATGGGTCACTTAGAGGACAGGTCTTAAGAGTCCTAAGAATTTAGCACAAGAAAAAATCAAAACTATTTATTTCCAGGATATAATGTGAAGGCCAGAATCCACCATCACCATGCACCCTCGTGTTGGCTCACCTCGTAGGTTGAAGGGCACTGAGAGCTGGATTCCACTGTGGGTCGTATTAAGCTATTTCCATGCTGCCGGGCTGTAGGCACATTTTGGTCAATGATGGTGTCTGACTTCTTCCCCAGCACCTAGCTCAGTGTCATGCATGCAGTCACCACATGTATATAACTTAATGAGCATCACTGAACCCAGTTTGTTATAGGTTTTGGTTATGGGAAGGAACAAAATAAGGAGCCATCTGCTGATATGCGGAATCTTCTCTGTATTGGATTGAAGTCTTGAGTAGCATCAGTATTCTTTCAGGGCTTCTGCTTCCTCTTTAGGTTTCTGTTTCCCCAAAGCTCAGAAAGTTCTGCGGATTTCTGTTAGAAACCCTTTTCAGAAACTCTAAATTATCTTATTTCTAGAATAACAAGTATTAGAAAAATTGACTGGAAAGATTAGTTTACCTAAAATACACTGTCCACTACCATATTCTGACATATGATTATAATTATGAATATAATTTTACATGTTTGCAATTTTTTTTCATTCCCTGAAATATGAAATAGCAGAGAAAGAATTTTATCTCCCACATCTCACCTAGGTGATTTCTCACTTGCTAATCAGCTTATTTCCAGAGTCAGACTGGAGAGCTCATATCCACTTGAGCAGGCTAGATTCCTTCCTCCGTGGGCCTACACATGCACACACACCCATACGTCCTCCTCAGCATCGAGAGTTCCCATTACCGAAATGCCTAAACAACCTCACCGACTCAGCCCAGGCACATGGATAAAGGGCATATAGAATGATTATCTGGTAAAAAGAACTTGAGTCTGGAAACTTTGCTACCAGCACTGCCACCTGTCACCCCATAGTTACCTAGCTAGTCATACTTCCTCTTCCACTACAGTTCTGAACCCTTTTAGAGTCTTAATGACTGGACCAAAGTGTAGTACTGCTAGGCACTACGTTTGTAAGTACTACTATTTTAAGAAGAAGAATTATTATTGAGAACCTTTTACTGGGCCAAACACTGTGTTAAGTTGTTTCTATACATCATGGAATATAATCACCGTGACCCAGTGAGGCATGTGCTACCATCATCCCAATTTCACAAAGGTACACACTGGGCTCAGAGAGGTTAAGTGACTTGCCCAAGATCACAAAGCTGCTAAGTGACATAGAATGTCCAGGTCCATTAAAGAGTCCACACATTTGACCAGTGTGCAATATTCTACCTGGTGAGTAAGAACTATGAGCCCCACCTTGAAAAGAGTAGTGAATTCAGGGGTGAATTCTGAGCATTTCAGCAAGAACAGCAAGAATTTTCCAAAAATTGTCTCAGGACTAGATGCTAAGCGACTGCTCCTAAAGGATATTTACATATTTACAAACATAAACATGGTAGAATTTGCATAATGATGTTGCTAAATATATACACTGCCATTTAAAATACAACTGCCCAGTTAATAAATTAGCACAATCATGCAGAAATAAGGAAAAAATATAGAGAATGCTCTTAGTAGATTTTATTTTCAAAAAATGTGAGTACTATGTCAGTAAAAAAACTTTAAAAAACAAGCACATAAAAAAATTACTGAAGCATGAAATTATAGTTCATTGTTTTACCTATATCATGTTATTTAAAATATATTTAATCTGCGTAAGTGTTTTTAAGGAGTCTTTGACCCCTAAACATTGAACTTCATGAGTGTAGAGTCCTGTGAGTGCCTAACCAGTTTCTGTTGCAGCTTCATGATGTTTGAAAGCAAATAAACCTGAGAGTACTTTTTATATAAAACTCGGAAGTGAAATTTTCCTTCTAAGATATGAAGCTGCAAAAACACAGGAGAGAGACTGAGAGAGCTGTCACAGTGCTTTCTTTTGGGCATGGCGGGATTCAGCTGCTGCTCAGGAGAGTGCTTCTATGAAATAGCCCAAATAACTGCAGGACGTTTGAAACCGCGAACAAAAGTCCTTTCTTTTCCATCTGTACTCAGGAAACTTCCAAAGGTAGCTGGCTTTTTTTGTTTTTTTGTTTTTGGTTTGTTTTTTTTGAGGGCATGTGATTTCATAAGAGCTCTATTAACTTGAAAATGACTTCAAAGCAATTTCATCTTGATTCTTATATTTAGTCATGTGCCTTGATTTAATGAGTTTGGCATCTCTTTTCTTATAAAGATGCTGCCACAAAGTATTGAGTAGTGAAAAAGTATGCATGGAAGATCTTCTAAAAAGGGTGTATCTAGGAGAACAGATATGTTGGCAGGGCTCTCCTCCCAGGACGGCCCTGGACTCGGGGATAGAGGAGTAGAGTACAACTGCTTTGATTCCAGGGTAGCAATTCTCGTGTCTGAGCATCCTAATGAAAAAATGACCTTAAGGGATGGATCGGCTTTACTCAGATGACTTCCCTTCAGCTGGGACTCAGAAGAGTGTGGGTGCCTGTGACTCTTAGGGAATGACAATGGAGGTCTGTGACTGGTGACTTAGTGCAGGATGCCCTGTCTTTCCTCGGTTATAAGATTATGCCATTAAATAGCATCATTATTTCTATTCCTGGCACATAAAACAGCCCTTAAGAATTGTAAAATTCTAAGATATTTATGTTTTGTTATTTTCTAGTTATAGCTTGGACCATATAATATGCAATATCTTTTAAATAACACTCAAAATTCAAGGGTACTCATTTCACTGTGATTAATAACTCTCCTTCCAAATGTATAATGGATTTCTCCTAGTATAATGTTTTTCAAAACATGGTACACTTGAACTAAGTTTTTTTTTTTTTGTTTGTTTTTTTTTACTATTCTTCACCTTCAGAAGCTAAATTCAACAAACTAGTCAAGAGTCCACACAGGAGCAAGTTCTTGGCCTGTCTGGGCATGCTTATTTGGAGAAAGAGAAGTCCCGTGAGGTCCCACTATGATTTCTAGAATACCGCTGATTTAAATAACCAGAATCTCTTGTCTTGAGCCAATTACAAAGAAGGGAAAAGAAAAATTCTGTGTACAAGAGGTAGCCTGCATGCTAACTGGTAGCTTGTGTCTGTTCTTAATCATTTTCTCATTTTATGGAGATTAAAGTTGCTGTAGCTTTGAGGGGTAGGATGCATCCTTCATTTAGTGGTTGGTTGAGTGAGAGTCTAAATTCAGAT